GTCGCTGTAGGGTGGGGGTCTGTGGGCTGCCCCCCCCCGTCACCACCGCCCCGCAGCTGCAGCCTGGCCGTGCAGCTGTCCAAGGTTCGTGAGAGCGTCCTCATCATCTCCACCGACCCCGCACACAACATCTCCGACGCCTTCGACCAGAAGTTCTCCAAAGTCCCCACCAAAGTGAAGGGCTACGACAACCTCTTCGCCATGGTGAGGCTGCAGGGGGGTCACCCCCACCCCACAGTGATCCTCTCCCTGTGGGATCCCCACCTTACGTGACCCCCATCTCATTAAATTCCCACCTGATGGGAGCTCCACCCTGCGGGACCCAACCCTATGGTACCCCCACTCCACACGTCCCCCACCCTGTGGGACCCCTCCCCCAAAAGCCCCTCTCCACGGAGCCCCCCCTGAACTCCACACCCCCCAGGAGATCGACCCCAGCCTGGGAGTGGCAGAACTCCCCGATGAGTTCTTTGAGGAAGACAACATGCTGAGCATGGGCAAGAAGATGATGCAGGAGGCCATGAGTGCCTTCCCTGGCATCGATGAGGCCATGAGTTACGCCGAGGTGATGAGGTGAGTTTGGGGTGAGCTGTGGGGTCAGCACCCCACAAGTGGCTCCTCTGAGCCCCCCCCCCGGCCCTGCAGGTTGGTGAAGGGGATGAATTTCTCGGTGGTGGTTTTTGACACGGCGCCCACCGGGCACACGCTGCGGTTGCTCAACTTCCCCACCATCGTGGAACGAGGCCTGGGGCGGCTGATGCAGATCAAGAATCAGATCAGCCCCTTCATCTCTCAGGTGAGAGCTTGGGAAGGGGTCTGGGGGGTCCTGGTGGGTGGCAGCGTGGGGGTCGCGTGGCTGGAGCTTTGGGGACCCTATGGATGGTGCCGTGGGGATGCCGTGGTGATCTCCAAGCTGTTCTCCATCCATAGATGTGCAATATGTTGGGTCTGGGGGACATGAATGCTGACCAGCTGGCCTCCAAGCTGGAGGAAACTCTGCCCGTCATCCGCTCTGTCAGCGAGCAGTTCAAGGACCCTGTAAGGACACTGGGAGGGGGGGACACTGGGGAGGAGGTGGCACCTGGGAGGGAATGCCATCAGGGAGGGGATGTGGGGAGGGGAACAGGCTGAACAGGGCTGGCTGCATTCCTATGGGAATCCTATTGCCTTGGGGCTGGGCAGGGGATCCCCGGCAGTGGGGACACCCTGCGGACATCACAGGGGACACGTGGGATAGGGGGACACTGGGGTGGGGGTCAACAGGGAGGGGGTGTGGCTGAGCCAGTCTGTGGGCATTCCTGTGGGAATCCTGGGGCTGGGCAGGATCCCAGTGTTGGGGGCACCCTGGGGACATCGCAGGGGACACGTGGGATGGAGGGACACCAGGGAGGGGACACTGGAGTGGGGGTCGACAGGGAGGGGATGCATTCCTATGGGAATCCTGGGGTTGTGGGGCTGGGCAGGGGGTGCCTGGCAGTGGGAACATCATGGAGGGGGACATGAATGGAACGAGAGTGGAGTGAGGGTACAGGGATAGAAAATACCATGGAGCAGACATTGCCAAACCAAGGCCAGCTTGTCCAAGAGCATTCCTATGGGATTTGTGGGGTTGGGAAGGGGATGGCATGGGGCAGCTGATTGCACTGGGGACACACACGGGGTCACTGATGGCCCCACAGGAGCAGACGACGTTCATCTGTGTGTGCATCGCCGAGTTCCTGTCGCTGTACGAGACAGAGAGGCTGATCCAGGAGCTGGCAAAGTGCCGCATCGACACCCACAACATCGTGGTGAACCAACTCGTCTTCCCTGACCCACAGAGGCCCTGCAAGATGTGCGAGGCCAGGCACAAGATCCAGGCCAAGTACCTGGACCAGGTGTCAAGAGGAGGGGGGTGGATTTGGGGGGCAGAAATGAGGGGCAGCTGTGGTGGGGAGGGGGAAAATGGGGGGAGTGGGGACAGTGGGGGGACACTGTGTGCTTTTGGAAGGGACAAAAAACGTTTGCATTGGAAAGTAGGATTTGGGGGAGACCAAAATTTGGAGTGGTGGAGGCAGAATTTGGAGCTTGGATTTCTCCGCAGCTGTAGGGGGAGAGGGACTATGGGGGTCAGTTTGGGGGGAGGGGGAGGTAGGATCTTCTCCAGGTTTGGAGAAAGACAAGGGGGATTTACAGAGGGGAGTTTGGGGGCAGTCCAAAGTTTGGGGCTGGGGGAGGAGGATCTGGGGAGTTGGCATGGTTTGTGGGGGCAGTGTGGGATTGGCTGCAGGATTTGGGGCTCTCAGTCCCTCACCAACTCCAGGAGGGGGCAAGGGGGGGTCTGGATGTTACCATTTCTCTCTCTTCCCATAGATGGAGGATCTCTATGAGGATTTCCACATCGTCAAACTGCCGCTGCTGCCCCATGAGGTGCGCGGGGCCGACAAAGTCAACACCTTCTCCTCCCTCCTGCTGGACCCCTACCAGCCCCCCAGCCCCAAATAGCCCCCTGGCCCCAAGTAGTCCCTCGGGGGGAGGGGTGGGTGGTATTTATTCCCCCCCAGGAGGAGCAGACAGCTCTGTTCCCCCCCCCCCATACACCTCCCACACAACGTGGGGCTGACCAGCACCATGCCTCCCCCCGGGTGCTCACACCATCCTCACCCCCCACCCCAGATCTGGGGGGTGGCAGAAACGGTGACCTTGTGTAAATAATAAATTTGGGAAGAGGAGAGGGGAGGCTCTGAGGTTTTTGGGATCGGGTGGGTGGGGGGTGGGGAGGACCATGGGACACCAGGGGGGGTTCTGAGGGTTTTGGAATCAGGAGGGGGGCATGGGGGGTGGGGTGACGTCAACAACTGCTGGCTCCTGGCCCAAGGGACGCAGGGACCCTCATTAATCAGCACGGATTAACGAGGCACAGGGGGGTGTCCCTGTTGTCCTCATGTCCCCATCCCGCTGGGATCTGTCCCTGCGACCTCACAGAGTTGGCCACGGGGACAGGCGCTACCACCCCCACCCCCCTCCGGGGGGGGGACAGTCCACCCCCACCCCAGGGCAGGGCCAACCCCGCTGGCTGTGGTATTTAGGGCCCTGGGATGGGGACGTGGCCCCAGAGCAGTGGTGGCAGCCACTCCTGGCTCAGCTGTCCTGGGGTGAGTGGGGACACCGGGAGCGCAGGGACGGGGGGATATGGGGAGGCTGGGGGGGGCAACATGCTGGGGTGGCTTTGGGGTGCTCAGGTCCTAAAGTGTGTCCTTCAGGTGTTGTCATCCCTAGGATTTTGGTGTCCCCATTTTGCCATGGGGTTTGGTTCCCCCATGTCCTGTTTTCGTGTCCCCAAGGTTCCTCTGTCCCCAGATTTCAATGTCCCCAAGATTCTGCTGTCCCCTGGTTTTGACGTCCTCAAGATTCTGCTGTCCCCAGGTTTCAATGTCCCCACGGTTCTGCTGTCCACACTGCCCTCATTTAATGTCCCCAAGGTCGCCATCCCGAGGGCTTCACTGCCCACACGGTTTCAACCTCCCCATGACTCCCAAGTCCCCATTTTGGGATCTGGCCATCCCAAATTTCACTGTCCCCAAAGCTTCAGCATCCCTGGAGTGCCGCATGGATGTCCCAAGGCTCACAGTGTCCCCTGGGGTCCCCGTGGTCCCCGTTCTGTCCCCAGGACGATGACGGTGACGTACACAGCACGGGTGGCCACTGCACGCTTTGGGGGCTTCTCGCAGCTGCTGCTGCTGTGGCGTGGGAGCATCTATAAACTGCTGTACAGAGAAGTGCTGCTCTTCCTGGGGGCCTATCTGGGGCTGAGCATGGCCTACCGGTGGGATATGGGGACAGGGGGACATATGGGGACATGGGGATGTGGGGCTGAGCATGGCCTACGGGGAGGATATCGGGATATGGGGACATATGGGGACATGGGGACATTATGGGCATGGGAATGTGGGGCTGAGCAAGGCCTACTGGTGGGATATGGGGACACTATGGGGATGTGGGAACATGAGGCTGAGCGTGGCCTGCCAGTGGGACATGAGGATATGGGGACATCTGGGGGACATGGGAGGATATGGGGTGGCAGTGGTGCCACATTCATCTCCCCCCCACCCCCCCTTCAGGTTTCTGCTGTCGGAGCCACAGCGGCGCCTCTTTGAGAAGCTGGTTCTGTACTGTGACCGTTCTGCAGAGCTCATCCCTGTTGCCTTCGTGCTCGGTCAGAACCCCCCCAGTATTCCCAGTTCCCATTCCCAGTGCTCCCAGTCCCCCCCAGTGCTCCCAGCGCCCTATTCCCTCCCAGCACTCCATCACATCACCCCCACAACCCCCTTCCCAGCCTTCCTTCTCCCTCCCATTACTCCCAGCGTCCCATCCCTGTATTCCCAACGCCCACCCCCCATCCCCTCCCATAGGTTTCTACGTGGCGGTGGTGTTGGAGCGCTGGTGGGGGCAGTTCCGCAGCGTCCCGGCTCCGGACGGGTTGATGTTGGCTGTGGGATGCGGAGTGCACGGAGCGGATGCTCGGGGCCGTATCCTGCGCCGAACTTTGATGCGTTACGGCAGCCTGGCGGCTCTGTTGGTTCTCCGAGCCGTCAGCACGGCTGTCTATAAGAGATTCCCCACCACCGACCACCTCGTGGAGGCGGGTGAGGGGCAAAAGGGAGCGGGATTGTAGGGGTGGGATGGGGAGGAGTGATGCTATGGGGCGGCAGTTCCATGGGGGGGGGGGG